TTGCATTGATATCGTGATGCACGAGGTTTCTGCAGTGCGATTGTTGATATTGTGATGCACGAGGTTTCTACCGTGCGGTTGTTGATATTGTGATGCACGAGGTTTCTGCCGTGCGATATTTGATACTGTGATGCACGAGGTTTCTGCCGTGCGACTGTTGGTACTGTGATGCACGAGGTCTCTGCCGTGCAGTTGTTGTTGAAGGGTTGCACGAGGTCTTTGCCGTGCTATTATTGCTATTGATGTGTTGCACATGCGGCGTAATAAGGCGGGATATGTTATATGCTTATATGTGGGTTGCGCATGTGGCGAAATAAGGTGGGAACATTGTGATGCACGTGTGGCGAAATAAGGCGGTGCTTATTATGTTATTAATTGCACACGTGGCGTAATAAGGTGGGCTATGTCAGGGGTTGATTGTAAAGAATTGTGACGGCCTGTGGAGGCATTCCTATTTGTTTTATATTGTGATTGTGGGTTGCTTACCTGTATGAGCGTTACCGCTTGGAAGTTGTGAGGAAACATTCGTACGTGCGGTCCGTTCCCCTTTATGTTTTCTAATTGGTAGAATTCTTGTTAAAAACACTTGCACAAGCATACACGTAGCCGAACACTCCTATTAGAGGTGAATTCCTCCTGATTTTTTTTCTAAGGGTGAAGGTACGCCCTCGTTATCCACTATATTTGGGAGAGTGGCCCTAGTTAGCCAGTTAGTTGTCAGCATGACCATGAGATTGATGGGGCACAGGATGCCAGTTGTTAGATTTCAGATGCTGGTTCTTCGCGAGTTGTGGTTTGTCCGAGACTTGGTGAAATTGTGGAAAGAGTTGGGTAAGACCTTGGTGAACATCATTGTAGGATATGAGTTATTGACTTGTTTTCCCCTTGCTGTGTTGTGACCTTAGGATTTGGATTGTGATTCTGCCGTCATTTCGTATCCTCATTTATTATATTCTCGTTGTTACTTGTTGTATTTTTCCCTTATTGTGAATTGTAGCATTCTTGGTCATTCATGCAGTCTTTACATATTTATGTCGTTTCCATTATTCCTATGATTATACTGTTTATTGACCGGTAGGTGCCTTGACTGTTCCTCGTCACTACTCCACCGAGGTTAGTCTTGATACTTACTGGGTACCACCGTGGTGTGCTTATGCTACTCTTCTGCACATTTTTGTTGTGCAGATACAGGTACTCCCACTCAGTTCTGTCAGCCTTGGGAGGAGGCGTATCGGTAGAGACTTCGAGGTATATCTGCTACATCCGCAGACCGAGGAGTCCCTTTCCAACTTTCTGTAATAAGTATAGCTATTTCAGTATTTCTCCTTTGTATAGATATTCTTGAGTCAGAGCCTCCTATGTATCCCTTAGCTTGTGATTTGTGAGTTTCCGGGTTTTGGGAATTGTTTTAGACTTGTGATGTTGAGTTGTACTTGCCATGCGGCATTCAGTACAGTTTCCTTTAGATATTTGATTTGATTTTCTCTATTTTTCCTCAATTATTATATTTTCGCAAATGTTAGGCTTACCTGGTCATGGGGACCAGGTGCCGTCATGACATGTTCACGGTTGATGGACTAGGGTCGTGACATTGACGTAAGTGTGCTTAAAGAAGTGGGGGGCTTATATATATTGATGTGAAGATGGAGTTATTGTTTGACATAAGTATGGGGTTTTAAATGTTAAAGTGTATGTATTAAAGTGCTTAGGGAGGTGTAGTCACTCTTATATCTAAATGTATCCTACCCATCCCTCAGCCTACATTACAACCAAATAAAGTCCTACTTGATCCTAGACTGAATGAGCTCGATTAGTAGAGTAGTACACTACGGGCAAGCCTATGGTGCATCTTTTGTGGCATATGAATGTTTTTTCTGAGAGTGAGTGAATTCTTTCTATCTTGTGTTCCTAAATGTTCTTAAATTTTATTGTGTGGGACTACTCTCATTGGTTGTGTGAGGGCACTTGATTCATGAAGGAAAAGCAATGTCATTGACCTCTATGTTAGAGTAAGTGGGCGAGTGATAATGCGTGGTACTTGTGAGTCAAATCTTGAGGTTAAGATTACGCTTTTGTGCTTAATCTATTTTAAATATTCTTGGCATAATGAATTAGGAGAGTTGTTTAAAAAGGTCGTGTCTATATAAAGTGAAGTTTGATTGCTCGAGGACGAGCAATGGTTTAAGTGTGGGGTGTTGATGATAGGCTATAATTACGTATTTTAGTCGCTTGTTACACTCTAATTTACAGCACTTTAATTGAGTTTGAGCTTTAATCGTTAGTGTTTTGCACTAAATATGTGTTTTATGCCTTGTAAGAGTGATTCCGAGCTATGTAGATATTATGGAATGAATTCAAGTGATTTGGAGCTTTGAAGTCTGAGTAAAAGCCCAAGGAATTAAGCCGGGATCGTGTTTGGAGGTCGTGTACCAAGTCCGGATGTTAAAAGAGGACGAAATAAGTTCACTCTGAGAAAATTACATTGTCGCGCCGCATGGGGCGCTGCAAGGCGTGGCGCAGCAATGTAAAATGCTGCCTGACTCGAAAATATGAAGCTGCAGATAAAATGCACTACCGCGCCGCATGGTGCGGCGCAGCCTGCGGCGCGGCTGTCCAATTTTTACAGAGCTAAGTCCTAGTTCGCGCAGGAATGGTTTTTTTCATTTGTGCCCGACTCTACTTGGTATGAATACATGTAAAAATGCTATTTTGAGAGGTTGGACATATTTTTGACACAGATTCGATCTAAAGAGGCAGAGACACAATAGGAGCAAGGCGGGGAATTCTTTTACGAGTTTTTCCTTCCTCTTCCTATTTTTCATTGTTGGTTATGACTTTTAGTAGTGTAGTTTTACATGCTATTATGAATAGCTAATTTGTTATCTAGAGTTTCGATAGAACCTTTTGTAGGATAAATTCTTGTTATGTTTTTATATAATTGAGCCGTAGCTTTTCTCTATTTGTTCAACTACGTTTATATTGTGGTTGGTTGAAGAGCTCTCAATTAGCTGTGCCTATTTAGTATGTATTACTCGGGAGAGAGTGCATATTTAGGTAGTTATTGAACAACATCACTCCCAAAGTATAAGAGGGATCTATAACTGCGGGTTTAAAGGCGGGATTAGGGATAACGAAGCCTTGGGTGCAATCTAAAGTGAGCTGTAATAAACAAAGCCAGCTAGTATAACTCGGGAGAGTATGTCTAGTAAATTATCGTAATTACTCGGGAGAGAATTACAACACGCAGAGCGCTCATGATCGGTAGAGAATACTTAGGCGAAATTATAGAAGACATAGCGGGAAGGATTCCGACAATTGGGGAAATCATAACTCTAGACCTCCTTAATCTTTTCTCCAACTTGTAGTATCTTTAGTGTTAATTTATTATTTTAATTTGTTAGTTAGTTAGTTAAACACAAGAATCTTAATATCTATAAGTTAGGAATTGTTCAAGCTTGTGTTCTTGGTGATAGTGAACAATTGTAGCTAAGCCTTAGTTCTCCGTGGGATTCGACTCCGGACTTTTAGACCGAATTATATTTGCAGCGACCGCTTATCCTTTTTAGGACTAGAGTTGGGCGTGATCATTATGAAAATTGAATTTTAACTATACAAATTAGAGTTTTTCAAAATAACAGAAAATATAGTAATTATATATAAATTGAAATAAATTGAAGTATTAATAAACTTTAAGTATGCAAAAGTTAATTTTATTAGGACATTTGTATGCCTATTTGTAACCTCAAAACTTATCAATTTACTTTTTATTTATCAAACTAATATTTTATTTTATTGCAACTTGTTATTTTTGGACGTTAATTTTATATATATATATATATATATATATATATATATATATATATATATAGTCTTTAAGTATTTTTAATAAGTACTTAGAATAATTTCATATATCTAATGATTCATTTTTAAATACTTGCTCATATATTGAAGAACTTTGTGATGGTTTTGGTGCATTTAGTTTTGATAAATGACCAAAGCTGCAAATACATACAATGAACATATTTAACACTACAAAAAAATTTGTGATATCATAATTCATATTAAGTTTTATATAATCTTGCTATAGATATTTCAAAGAATTACGAAGTTAATTGATACTTAAGTCCATAGGAAAACTAATTCTATTATAATTCTTATGAATATAATGGAATTATAGCTAATTTGTGTGGATGCCTATTTTTGTAGAATTTAAACAACTATAATCTTGTGTGTGTGTATAACTAAATATACTTTCTTAATAAGTTTTTAATTGTCATTTTTATTTATACATTGAATATACGAATTGAGAATTAACTATGATAAAAATATATGAAGAGGATTATGTTTCTCTTGTGACTATTAGTTGATATTTTATAATATTTACATAATTCGATATTATTAAGTTTCACTTCAAAAAAAAAAAAATCATATGCTCGATAACTTGATATAGGAGTGTATAACCAAACTAACTAGTATAACATATTTCTTTTTAAGAATATTATACTTATATTTTTCTATAAAATTCAAATAAGTATTTAATTAATTTTCATTAGATTTGAATAAGCAATATCAAATGGTCACTGTACACTCAGTTTAGATAAAAAGAAAGTTGTATATTTAACGATCTAATACTATTTTAATAACTTAATAACTATCATAATCTAATTAAACACTAAAATTAAGAAGTTAATATAATTTAAATAGGAGTAAATTACAAAACTAACAATATCATATAGGAAGAAAAAAGTTGTAAGGAATATACTATATTATAGAATTATCTTTATTTCATGCAAGATGATTTTTCTATTTTACTTAGTGTAAATTATGTATTTAATTTTTTTCATTTCCCATAGATAATTTTCTTACTTATTGTATTCGTTAGTACTTACATTTCTCTTATTTATGGTATTTGTATTAAGAAATAAAGGGAAGAAAATATATATTAACAAAAGAAAATGAATATAAAGCTCAATTGGCCCAAACCAAAATCCGCAAAACCTAATGAAATTATAAAAACTTCAACCTAAGTATGCGTTCCTTTTCAGCCGCCAACCCCATTACTCCCTTTTCCCGTTTCTTTCTTTTACAACGTTCTCTCTTCTTCACGTGAACGGAGCAAATCAACGGAATCGCTGGCTATATAGCCCGATGCCTTCTCTCTTTTCAGGTATGTTTATATATCTACATCTTAAGATTTCTCAATGCCCATACACTTACTTGAGTTGAATTTTGGGATTTATATTCTAACAATTTGATAGTTATTATATCCTATTGTGATAGGTAGTGAGTGAAACCTTTAAGATTATAACGTAATGTTGGGAGAAGTCATAGTTCGTCGAAAAAACATTAAAAAATGAGATAAAAATTCTTTCAGAAGTTTTTAAAAAAGCATACAGGTTTAGTTTCTTGTCTTGTTGCTTTCCTCTTGTTATATGCTAAAAATTCTTTTACACATTTTCTCTCTTTGAACGTTCTTCTAGCATTTTTACAAGTCAAACTTTCATCTTAGTATTAATGTTTCTTTTGGTTCCCTCATTCTTTTGTGCTAATTATTGTTTCTTTTGATTTTACAGGGTATATTTAATCTATTGAATGCAAGAAGATGAAGGATTCAAAATTGATACAAAGAGTAAAATTACTTCATCCTTGGCTACAGAGATCAAATACTTTGAATTTAGTTTTGTTTTGATGTGGAACCCTTCAAAATTTTATAGATCGTAGTTAAATAACCGATTGTACTTTAGATAGACAATTGTATATTTTACAATTAATTTTTAAAACTATCTAGATGACAATTTGTATAATAAAGTGATATTCAAAATTTATTACTGTATGTTTCTATGGTTTGATCAAAGATGTATGCATATGAAAATTTTGAATTTTTTACAAATATTTAGTGAGGCAAAAAAAAGAGAAATAGCAAAGCATAGGACATAAAACTTTATTATCACTAATAAACTATTTTCTTTATAAATAAAAAGAAAATATAATAAAAATTTAGTCACCAAATAAACATAATAAAAATATCTAATCGGGAGAATTACACAAAAATACAGTCCACTTACATACATTGCAGCAGAATAACGCAGTTACAACTTTGCAAATCTGTAGCCCATTAATAATAGGCCAACGTTTGAAAAATAAGCATTTTTTTCTTTCTTTTTTTATTTTGCAGATCTTCAAGCACGAAAATTCGGTGATTTTTTATTGTTCTTCCCCAAGTTTGTATCTATTTCTATTCCAGCTACCAAAAATTCAAATTCATATATAATGCAACTTGAAAACCTTAAGTTTTCTTTTTTTCCAAGTTCCAAATAGCATAAATAAAAAATAAAAATTGAAAAAATTATTGCACGTTCCGATTTATACATAGATTGAACATATAAAATTTTAATTTTAGATTTAACTACACATGTGCATTACATGTATAATGATGTATAACTTTGTATAAACTTGTATATACAATCTCTAATAATGTATATCAGAAAAATAAGACAAAGAGAAGAAAAGAAGAAAGTGTCAAACATCCATGGATGCCTACTATACACGTACAATGTATATACACACTTATACATTAAAAATATATCTAATTTATACAACATTGTACGCATATATACATACTTATACATATTTATACAATATTGTATAAGTTTGTATAAACACTACCTATACAAGTTTACACCAGAAAACACCTTCTGTCGATCGCCACGTTATAATTTTCGGTGGTTGCTGGTGTTGAATTTTTCGGCGAGGTTTTGGCATTCAAATCTGGGCTTCACCAGTAGCAAAGGATGAAACAAAATCTAAGAGAAATAAGAAAATAT